GCAACCACTAATCTTTTTACTGTGTCCATAGTTTTGTCATTTCCAGAATGTCATATAGTTGGAATCACACAGCCTTTTCAGATTGGTTCTTTCACTTAGTGATGAGCATTTAAGATCTCTTGTGTCTTTTCATGGCTTGATAGCTTGTTTCTTTGTATCCCTGAATAATACTCCATCTTGCGTGTTCTGAATTGCCTTGTAGAGGTTCATTTACAGCATTTTCATTGTAGCAAAAAATCATAAGTAACCCAGACATCTAACACAGAGCCACTTAAATAACTTAACTACAGTATACTATACTTCCATTGAAATGACAAGAAATATTTCTGTTAGTGAAAAGGGAAGGTGCCCGGAACATATTGTTCACTGAGAGCAAGTTGGAAACAGTATTTTTTTTTTTTTTTTGTCTTTTTGTCTTTTTTCGTGACCGGTAACGGGATTGCAGCCCTCAGTGTCGCGCCCGCACCATGCTCAACCAGTGAGTGGACTGGTCTCTATATGGGATCCGAACCCTCGGCAGGAGCGCCGCTGCACTCCCAAGCGCCGCACTCTACCGAGTGCGCCACCGGGCCGGCCCGGAAACAGTATATTTTGATTGCCTGACTTTATTATAGTGATAATACCCGAAACCCTAAACGTTGGTTATCTCTGATGGGTGAGATTTCAGGACAAACTCACCATCTCTGTTTCACGTCTGCATTTGTGGAGACAGAAAACAGAAACAGCAGATCCGTGTCAGCCCCGTCTCCTCTCGCCTCTGCCCTCCTCTTTAGGTACATGTACTGGACGGACTGGGGCGAGACGCCCCGCATCGAGCGGGCGGGGATGGACGGCAGCACTCGGAAGATCATCGTGGACTCAGACATTTACTGGCCCAATGGGCTCACCATCGACCTGGAGGAGCAGAAGCTTTACTGGGCCGATGCCAAGCTCAGTTTCATTCACCGGGCCAACCTGGACGGCACGTTCCGGTAAGTGCCCCCAGTTGTGGGGCACCCCCTTCCCCGTTTCAACCAGCGCCACCAGGGCACTGGAAGACCTTCCTTCTTCCCTTATGCCCACAGTCTCCTATCTGAAACCCTGGAGACCTGAGGAATGCAGGACTTTTCAGAGCTTGGAACAGTAACAGAATATGTGTGCCCCACCCTATATCACACCCGAGCTAGGTCGGGCAGCATCTGCCATCTAGCATGTGAATATTTTTGTAGCGAAATGCAGAATGTTCATTCCAAGTGGGACAGAAAAGGCTATACATAGCCCCACATCCATGCACAGGTTTTGCCACCAAATGAGCAACAAAAACTTTCTATTTTCAGAGTGTTTTGGATTTCAGAATTGCAGAGAAGGGACCACGGCCCAACAGGGCTGTGGAGGGTTCACTTCAGTCTACATGCCACCCCCACCTGTCCCCACCCGGCACATGCGCATCTGAGGGTGGCAGAGGGGCTGTCTCGGTTATCACAGTATTCCCCAGTCCTGCCAGAGGGTCACACTACACATAATAGGTGCTTGGTAAAGTGGGTTGAATGAATGAAAGAATGTGAAGGACTTTTCCCTTGTTGAGTAATTGCTTTTAGAGCTTCCTGGTTGGCTTAGCCAGTAGCCCCCCAAGTCTATTACCCTTTAAATGTAGAAAAGTCCCCTCCATTTACAGGTGAAGGTTGGTTTATTCATTGGCCAAGTACTGCCTGATTGTTCTGTGCCAGGTCTTGGGGATCCTCCTGGCAGGGCAGACCCCCTTCCTGCCCTGGTGGAGCTCCTGGCCTCGGTGGGGGGATATGTAGGTGCTGATGCCCAGATCTGGCTTTCTGCAAACACAGGCAGATGCCACTTGAACAGACTTAAGGACAGTGGCAGATGCTCCGTGTCATCCAGGCCTTGTGTACTGGTTGTCTGTTGCTGTGTAACAAAATGCCCCCTAAACTTAGCAGCCTGCAACAGCAAACAGTGTTTTTTTGGGGGGTGGGGGGGTGTCAGCAGTTAGGAGCAGCTTAGCTGGGTGATTCTGGCTCAGAGTATGTCCTGAGGGTGTAGTCAAACTCCTGGATGGGGATTTAGTCACCTAAGGCTCAGCTGAGGTCGGAAGATCCTACTCTAAGCCCACTCTGTGCCTGTTGGCAGAGGCCTCAGTTCTTTCTGGGCCTCTTCGTCAACTGAATGTGCATCTCAGGCTGGTTTGAAACGTTCTATCCCCTTGTTTCTGGGAGCACAAACTGGCTGGGTCAGGGAGCCAAGATTTGGAGATTTGGGAATGTGGCTACCCTGGAGACCATGGTTCTTGGGAGCCGAGTGGTATTGGCCATTATGAAGGATGGGTGAGAAGTCGTGATGGGACAGTGAGGATGATGGCAGTTAAAACGTGATGATGCTAGTGGCACTGGCAGTGACTAACACTTCCACAATACTTAATTGTTTTCAAGGGACATTTACCAGTTTATTTCATGCTCACACCAACCCTATCAAGTGTTTGCCATTATGATGATGCACAGAGAGGCTCATGAACTCACCCAAAGCCACACAGCTGGGGAGAGCCAAGGTTGGAGCCCAGGGTTCACAGCTCCGGGGTCCACTCTGAGCCTGCTACCTGCCTCAGCACTGGATGCTTCTGGCTCTGCAGGTGGCCAGTATTCTTTATGGACATGCCCAGAGCTAGCCAAATAGAAGCCTAGTTTGCTGGTAGAGTGGACAAGCTCTGGAGCCAAACAGACCTGTGCATTCCCCTTTTGGCTGTGACTGTGGTTGGGTTGCTTTGCTGCCCTGAGCCTCAGGGCCTTGTGTGTGAATTGCGGGTAGTAATCATACTCCTAGAGGGATGTACAGAGAGTACAGTGGGCAGTTCACGTAAAGCCTGGGCACGGTGCCTAGACACTGTAAGTGCTCACTGAAGGCTGGTGTGCTTGGGGAGCTCCCAGATCTGGTTGGAGGCAGAAGGGACCATGGCTGGGGACAACTTGGAGTCAGGGAAGGGAGTGTCCTACAGGCCATGGGAGGATGGCCTCTTGCTGAGGCCAGGCGTGGCGAGGAGGAGCCCGAGAAATGGTGGGCCTTTGGCTTCTCTGATTAAAAAATGGGGCCATTGTGGAAAACAGTTTGGTGATTCCTCAGAACGGAAACGTCGACTTAACATACCATCTAGCAGTTCCTCTCCTAGGAATGCACCCCAAAGAATTGGAAACAGATATTCAGATAATGCTTGTACATGAGTGAGTGTCCGTAGCAGCCCTGCGGTAGCCCCCTGACCTGTGGGTTTACCTTCCGAGACCCCCGGTGGATGCCCGAAACCGCGGATAGTACCGAACTCTTGTTTGTTATGTTTTTCTGACACGTACATACCCCTGATAAAGTTTAATTTAAAAATTAGGCACAGTAAGAGGTTAACAACAGTAACCAATAATAAAATAGACCAATTATAGCAATATAGTGTAATAAAAGTAAAGTACGGGTTACTTGATCACAAGCACTGCCGTTCTGTGGCGGTTGATCTGATGACCAACCGGCTACTAAGTGGCTTACAGGCGGATAGTGTAGACAGCGCGGATGTGCTGGACAAAGGGATAATTCACGTCCTGAGCAGGATGGGGTGGGCTGACTCGAGATTTCATCACGCTCCTCAAAGTGGCATGCGATTTAAAACTTATGAATTGCTCGTTTCTGGAATTTTCCATTTAATATTTTCCAACTGCAGTTAACCACAGGTAACTAAAACCACGGAAAGCAAAACGGTGCATAAGGGATGACTACTGTGTTCACAATAGCCAAAAGGTGGAAACAACCCAGTGTCCACCAGTGGATGAATGAATGAGCAAATTGTGGTCTGTCCCTACCCTGGAATATTGTTTAGCCATAAAAGGACTGAAGCATTGACATGTGCTATGACCTGGATGAACCTTGAGTGAACTCCCTAAGTGAGAGAAGCCAGAGAAGGCAGATGCACAAGGCCACGTGTATGATTTCATTCATATGGAATATTCAGAACATTTATGGGTAAATCCGTGGAGGCAGAAGGTAGATTAGTGTTTGCCAGGGGCCGGGGGTGCGGGTAGTGGGGAGTGGCTGATGATGGCTGTGGGGTTTTCCTGTGGAGTGATGGACATGTTTTGGAACTAATTGTACAGCATTTGAGTGTATTATATAGCACTGAATTATTCACTTTAAAACGGTTAATTTTATGTTATGTGGATTTCACCTCAAAAAATTATTAAAAAGGAAACGTTGACAAAACAAACAAAAAGGGCAGTGCGTCAGAAAAGAGGAGCTTATAGTTGTCATTTATTCAGTAATACTTGGTGCTGTGCCACGGGCGGGGGACATGGCCGTGACCACCCACCTGCAGCCCCTCCTGCAGGGAGCCCATCGTGAAGGGGAGGGGCCGTGTCAAATTACGATGCTGTTACCAGTGTCTGTGATCTCTGTGAACATGAGTTCTCATTTGCTGGGCATTGTAAGCACGTAGAAAAGAAAAACCTTTTCTCATGTCAATGCCAAGTTTCATTTACACTGGAATAGAAATTATGGGCATTAGAAGGATGGGCAAGTGCATTTGGCCAGATTTGTGTTCAGTGATGATTCAATCCTTGGGCAGGAGGGGCCTGCTCAGAGGCAGCTCTGGGTCACCAGGTGTGGCTTCCTCCTTTCTTCTCTGGGGGGCACTTGGCACTTTACCTGGGGGACCCCCTGTGTCACTGCCACAGACAGTGGGAGGCTGGCGGGTGAGGGGGGTGCCCTGAAGAGTGGAGTGTGACTCGCTCTCCCTGGTCTCCCTCTGCTTGTTCACAGCTGCTTTTGTCCTCTTGAATGCCAGGGGGTCGCCAGTGCCCAGAGCCCTCCTGACGGCCTCTCCCTCTGCTCCTCCCCACCCCCTGCAGCCAGAAGGTCGTGGAAGGCAGCCTGACGCACCCCTTTGCCCTGACGCTCTCTGGGGACACCCTGTACTGGACAGACTGGCAGACCCGCTCCATCCACGCCTGTAACAAGAGGACAGGGGAGAAGAGGCAGGAGATCCTCAGTGCCCTGTACTCGCCCATGGACATCCAGGTGCTCAGCCAGGAGCGGCAGCCTTCCTGTGAGTCTGAGCACCCGGGCACCTGCTCCCTTCCCTCATCGGAACTGTCTGAGCCCTGCCCTGGTGCTGGGGCCTTTCTCCCTGCAGAAGCCCATGGTCTGGGGGAGGCGGATTCTTGGTGGGGTCACATGCTGGAGGGAGAGAGGGAGGTGTGGGGCGGGTGGGGTGCAGAGGCCCCTTCTAGAGCTGCTGTGGGGGCTGCCTCCAGGCTCAGAGGTGGCCATGGGATTACCAAGGAAGGTTGCCTCATGTTAAAGGCCCAGCAGGAGTTACATATTTAGTAATGAAAAGTATGCTATAAGTTGGTGGTTCTTAGCCTGGGTTCCCCACAAAGTCGTGGCAGAAATCCCTGATGGTCAAACTCATGGGCTTCTGTGACAGATGACCAGCAGGGCCAGGGCCCTGGACTCACCCAATCCCATGGGGACGATCACCCTCCCCCATGGGCCCCAAGGATGGAGATTTCTGGTGAAGCCATTGTAGGGGGTTCGAGCTTTGAATTTAAGAGTAGGGGCTCATGGGGTAGTTGTTCTCAGCAGGGCACGGGGAGGGTGGGGTTCTCCAGAGCAGTTTTCTGGAAAGAAAGTCATGGTCCTTAAACCCATCCACACTTGGCGCAGCCGTGGGGAGGGCAAGTGTTGTTCCAGCTAACTCCATGTTTCAGGGGTGCTAAACCCCACCTTCCCCTGGGCAGTGAGGTGCCAAGAGCATTCAGTTCAGTTGCTTGTTGGCCCTACAAGAACCTGGGAAGATGACCAGCATGGCCATCCCACCAGGAGGACCAGCTTAGTGCTGCGCATGGTCACCAGCATGTGTGTGGAACCCATGGGGTTCAAGCATGTCACAGAGACAAGACAGGCTGTGTTCTCAGGAGCCCGCCGTCTCAGGGGTCCCCTTCATTACCACATGAGCAGGTCCCAAGACCCTGCCGTGGGAGCATGGAGGGCATCCTTCCTGGAGGAGGTGTCATTTGTTGGGGGGGGGGACCTAGAAAAGATGGGGGTTTTCTTGTTATAGGAATTTGGGGTGTAGGGGACTGGCAGGGAGGATGCCTGCTCCAGGGGCAGGGTGTATCAGGGCCAGGAAGGTCACAGCCGGTTTTAAAGAAATTGCAGACCAGCTGCAGATGCTGAAAGTCCGACGTGGAGGGTGGTCAGTGATGCGGCAGGATGGAGTGGTGACCTGGAAGGGCCCTGATGCTATGTGAGGGCAGCGTTTGGGCAGAGGGACACTATGAGGTGGGGTGAGGAGGCGGGGTGTTGACTCATTTGGAAACAAGTGAGTGGCGGGCCAGACCCTATTCTGGAACCTTCTCTCACTCTGTCCTGCCTTTCCCAGTCCACACGCGATGTGAGGAGGACAACGGCGGCTGCTCCCACCTGTGTCTCCTGTCCCCGAGGGAGCCTTTCTACGCATGCGCCTGCCCCACGGGCGTACAGCTGCAGGACAACGGCAGGACGTGCAAGGCAGGTGAGGCAGAGACCTGCAGGGCTGGGGGCTGGAGGGGGCGCCCGGCCTGGCGGGAGCGGGCTGCCACTGGCTTAGGGCCCCGAAAGGAAACACATGGATGAGCCCATTTAAAGCAGTCTACTTGCTTTAGCGAAGGCTTCGGGCATTCGGGCTCTGCGTCCCAGTGCGCTCGGGCCGCTGACCGGGCTGGATTTGTGGTCAGGTCTGGGCTCTGCTGCCCAGCAGGCGGCCAATCTCAGGCGTGTTACCGGCCTCCTAGGAGCCTCGGGTCCTTGTCTGCAAAATGATGTTGTCATGGCCAGGTAGTGCCACCACAGTGCCGAGCACGCTGTCAGTGCGTGGTGATTACAACTGAAAAGCTCACTGTCATTAGTGATGAGCCAAAACCACGTTTCTTGTAAGGAAGGACAGTAGCATCGGAGGATGCTGTGAAACAGGTGGTGGCCCCACAAAGACGCACTGTCCCCGTCTGTATTTTTCTCATCTCTGTCTGTGCACTCGCCAGCGGTGCGGCATGCAGGCCTCGTGGTGTGGTTTCCTTTTCTGCTTTTCTGCTTTTCGTTAGCATTTTTCCACATTGATGGGAATTTATCCTTCATTTTTATCCTCGTGTCTCATTCCTGTGAAGTCTGTGCCATAATAACTCCCCTGTGGAAACTTAGGTCACAAACGTTGTTAATGGGAAATCTTTTGGACGCATGGCGTTAACTTGGTCTCCCTCCCCACGTGCGATTTTTTTCAGGTACCTTACACCCCTTTTGCGCTCCCGCTGGTCTCTCGGGCACTCTTCAAGAGCTCTCACCAGGAGTATTTTGTAGTGAAGCATCGTTCCCTGCTCTGTGGACCTGCATGTGGGTCTTTATTTCCAGGGGTCAGGTTCAGGGTGGGATCTTCTGGAAATTAGGCATGTCCAGGATGCAGCCTGTCTTTGGGGATGCTCTGGGGACAGGGCCTGCTTCCTGTGCCAGTGTCCCACTGGGGATAGGGGGAAGGAAAAGCAGGAGGCTGCCCAAGTGGGCTGGCATCCAGCCTGGGGACGGTCCTGTGGGACAGGGTCTCGGGTGATTGGCCACCAGAAGCACTCTCCTGCCTCTGTGTGGGTGGAGGAATTTCCTCCCTCTGTCCCAGCTGCCGCCTGAGCACATGGGGGTCCAGGCTCTAAGGCAGTTTCCTGGGCAGTCCTCTGATCTCAGCGGGCTGCGGTCTGTACTTGAGTGCAGTGGCCAGGTTTGTGGGAGTGGGGTCTTTCATCTGTTCCCTGGCAGCGCTTCCACTTCGGGTGAGGACTTTCCAGGTCTGTATTCACTCCTTCTTTTTTGCAGAAGAGAGCATAAAGACTTGGCTGTGTCACTGAAGTGTCTGTTAGCTGCATAGGCTATTGCAGGAGTCTCCTCACCCCGCCCCCAAGGGCCTTATTTTCCCAACTGGGGAGTGGGACGGGCACCACCATTTGAAAACTGGGGACATGGGCAGTCCAGTCCTCATGGTTCTCTCTCCTTTTTTTTTTTTTTGAGTTTTTTGTGACCGGTAAGGGGATCGCAACCCTTGGTGTGGTGTCGCCCGCACCGCGCTCAGCCAGTCCCATATAGGATCCAAACCCGCGGCGGGAGCGTCGCTGCGCTTCCAGTGCCGCACTCTCCCCAGTGCGCCACGGGGCCGGCCCCCTCATGGTTCTCTTAAAGTGGGACCCCAGCCACTCAGAGCTGGGGCTTGCCTGAGAAGCCGCCTGGACTGCACTGCATTTGTTCATGTGTTCATTCATTCATTCAACCATACGCTCACTCAGCGGGCGTTTATTGGGCACCTGCTGTGTGCTGGCACAGTTCCCGGGCTCTGGGCGTTCCACAGTGAGCAGTGCAGACAAAATCCTTGGTTTCTGGGGTTCACGCCTTAGGGCTGGGGTGGGTGAGGGAGGCAGATGGCACACGTGAGTCTGAAGTGCTTGGTGTATCGGGAGACTGGCGCCTTGGTCACCTCTGGGGCCCGCTGCCATTTACTGTTCACTTTGCCTGGAAGGTGATGCTGAGGGGGAAGCTGACCTGGTGAGGAGATCTAGGCAAGTTGCCTGTGAGTGATTCAGAGATACCAGGGGTTTGGACAAACAGGTTAAGGATGGATAATGGACACACTTGAGGGGGAGGAGCAGCTTGACCAGGTTGGATCAACCCTCTTATTCTCCAGATGACAAAATGGAGGGCAAGTCACTGGCTCAGGGTCACCCACAGCAGGGAGCAGAGTAGGTTCTAGAAGGTGGGATCTCCTGGCTCCCAGAGGCGTGGGTTTGTTGCTGCCTCTGGCCCCGAGTGGGGTGACTGACTGCTGTCCTGGCCCTGGGGTCAAGGTCCTGGCCTCCCTCCCAGACTTCCCAGGACACCTGCTGCTCCCTCAGCCTCACAAGTGCCACTGGAGAGCGGTGCCCGGCCTGTTGGCTGCTGGAAGGTTGGTGTCTTAGTCCGCTTTGTGCCGCTATAACAGAATGCCACAAACTGGGTGGTGTTTTACAAAGAAGAGAAGCTTATGTGGCTCACGGCTCTTGGACCACTCCCTGCCCAGGGAAGCTGTGGAGGACCCAGTGTGTTAACAGGAATCAAAAGTGCCGTGTCTGGTGCCTGGCATGCAGTAGGTGCATGGTATAGGGCAGCCATGTCCACTGTCCACGCCATTGCCATCATGTCACTGTGACCAGTGCTGTGGCTGGCGCCAGGCCCGAGAGAGCAGGGCGGGCTTGCCTAAGGTCTAGATGCCCCCTATTGTCCAGGGGTCCTCCTACAGCTGACAGCTGGGATGGGTTGTCACTGGGGAGCTGGTGGAGGGGCATGATTTCCTTCCCAACCAAAAGAGGCAGGAGCCATGGGCTTATGTGGAGCCCCCCTTTCTGGTTCCCAGAGCTGGACCCCCTGAGCCTTGGGGACTGGTGCCGTGGCTGGGCCCTTTGAGGACATTGCGTTCTTTCTGCAAACGTTAACTCCACATTCAGGCCCAGAGCAGCCCTAGGGAGTTCTCTGAGCTCATGGTCCTGCAAAGGCCTGGGCTGGGGTGGGCAAGGGGCAGGCTGGGGTGACGGGCAGAGTAGAGGAGGTTGCCTTAGGTCGCAGGGCCACACTGTGCAGCCGGGGTGGGAGGACTTCCTAGAGGAGGTGGCACCAACAGTCTGGCAGTGGGCCCAGTGTCTCTGGCCCAGTCTTGGCGGCTCTGCGGTGTGGAGCTGACACCACAGACACCTGTGGGGTTGCACCGGTGGATTAGTGGCAAACCCTGCCCTTCCTGTTGGGCGCTTTTCCAGTCTAGAGCTGTCAGGGCAGGAGGGGCTGATGGTGCAGCATCCGGCCTCCTTCCAGCGGCCAGATTCCCCAGGGACTCAGCTGTGTTGGGGCCACCTTTCCCTGGTCTCCTAAGAACTGTTTTTTCTCCCTGTTGGAGAATGCCAGGCATGCAGGAGAAAAGCGTTCCTGTTGTCTTTCAGAGGCCCTGCTTGGGTGGGAGTACGTGCCTGTTTGGCAGGGTGGGAGCAGGGGGCTCTTTTATGCTGAGCCTGAATCTTTCTGCTTTGGCTCCAGATGCCACGTCTGGGGTGTTACGTCAAAAGCAAAAGCTCACAGATGAGACAAAAGAGATGTGGCCAGGAATCTTGTTTGCATGAAAATGTGACGGTTGGGTCCAGTTTTTTTTTTTAATGGTGGCTGGCCTGTACAGGGATTCAGATTTTCTTTTTTTGTAATAAAAATGGTTCCCAAGCTCAAGCTTGGCCTCTGGGGGCCTCCCGGAGACCCACCCCCAGGCTTTCCATTGATTTCCTGGTTGGTGCTGGGTGCTGGAGGTGGCTGCTGTGTCTGCCCTGAACCCACCTGAAGCCAAAGTGTTCCAGGGCAGTTGGGATGGGAAAGGGTAAACGAAGTGTTCTAACAGTATAGAGTTGAGAAGAAACCTAGAATCTTCTTAGAAGCATTTCAAGAGTTTGCTACCAAGATGGCTTTCTGCAAATTTGAGGTGGTTCTAAAATATCTTTCCATATTTCTTAATCCAGAGGGATATGGGGATGGGTGAGAAATGAGGAGCTTTCGGTCTGTTTTGGGGACAGACACAGCCCCACAGAACCCAGGTGGGTGAGTCAGACTCTCTGAGACAGGCCAGCACGGGGCTGAGGCAGCAGACTGGGGGTTTTAAGATGTGGATGTCCTGAAACACCCTGTTTTTATTCCTTGCCGCAAAATACCGTGTTAAAGGAAGATTTTTTATGAAAAGACCATAACCCTCTCACCTGAGCACTGTAGAGGTTTCCCTTTTCGCATGTGGCCTTCTAGGCTGTGAGCGTCCACTGGCGTGTATAGGTGTGTTCAGTGGACTTGTTATATGTAGTGTGGGAATTTTGACTGCTGACGGCACATAGCATCGTGACTGTGAAAACCGCCTGCAGATAGTAGCTGGTCACTCAAGGGCGAAATGAAGAAAATGCTAAATCCTGTTGTCCGTTATGGCTGATGATGTAGCTTTGAGGGTGGGCAAAGGCCTTGTGCATGGTGCCCAGCCAGCGGGGATGTCACACCTGGCCAGAAGGGAGCTGTGCCCATGGAGAGCTGCCCAGGGAGTCTGCCGAGGTGTCCGCTTGGAGGGTGGACTTTAGGGGCAGGCAGAGGAGGCCCTGGGGTCATGTGTAGATCTCCTCTTGGCTGTGGAATTGGTGAGGTCCATTGTGCCATGGGGGTGAAGAACGGAGGCCACATGGTGA